CACACCAGCCATCGTATGCCGGCCGTGAAAGCCTTCGACAATACATTGTCTTTATTATATTTGCAATTGTTTTATTCTGTATTGAATAATTCAAATATGATCAAAAATATATTTTAAAAACCCCATTTATTTCCTGTAAAGCAGTTTGGAAAAATATTGTTTAGAATCTAAAACTGATGGAGGGGTGTAATTAGTAGCTGTAATGAATTTTCATCCTTTCTGTTGTAGAAATTATTTACCTTGACCATGCGGGTACTGCTCTCTATCCAGAAAGTTTGCTAAAAGCCTTTACTGATGACCTCAGTACAAATGTTTATGGTAAGGCAAAATTAAGCAATGTATACTTTTGTCCTTCCTTATTGGATGGGGAAAAAAACCCCAGACATTTCAACGTTTTATTCTAAATTAGGGTTTATTTATTTATTTATAAATGATATAAACAAATAAGGCTTTCTAGATTTTTGCTGCCATCTAGTGATTTTCCAGATCATTTTTTAACAAATGATGCTTATTTATTTAATTAAAATAGAAAAATAAATAGGAAAAAAAGGAAAACCACACCAGCGAATTATTAAATCTCTCTCCGTATATGTGTATATGTATGGCTTCTCAAACGTGTGTATGTGTACATATGCGTGTATCTAAATATGTACATTAGTAGACCTATTTAAACAGTGTCTATAATAGGATTTGCAAGTGTGGAGGGGAACTGAAGAAAAGCTCAACATCTGTGTCCCTCCTACCAGTATAACTTGACAGGTAAAGTCTGCGGGAGAACTAATTATGTTCTGCATAAAGCTGTTACAGTTTCATATGATTAGGAGTTTCTGATTCTGCAAAGCACTACAATCGTATTTCACACTGGAAGGAAGGGGATAGCCTCCACTCCATCCTTTAGTTGTTTTCTAACATCTGGAAAGAGCTAGAATTCAAGATTTTAGATGGTCATACTTACGTATTGGCATAATTTAAAAAAAATAACAGGTCCAATTGGATAATATAATTTACTATCCCAAGATTTTATTATCTGGTTGTGCTGCATTTTATAAGATTTTTATATGAGAAAGAATAAGGTTTCGATCTACCCTCAGCTATCTCTGGCTTTGGGCCAAACGGTCTTTCTCAGTCCAGCCTACCAAACAGAATTGCTCTGGGGAAGAGTCAGAGGAGAGAGTGAATACATCTCTCTTGGAGGGAAAAGCAGGATAAATATAAAAATTAATTAAGTGTAAAAATTCAGGGACTAAAATTTGGGCTGTAATTTTGCAAAGAATGAAGTATCTTTTTATGAATCCTTGTTTTTTTAATCTCCTAGGAAATCCTCATAGTCAAAACATCAGCAGCAAACTGACATACGATACTATTGAACATATCAGATTCAGGTAATGTAATCTTTATTTTATGTGCTAGATGTTCTGTTTCACATTTGCTTTTAGATTCTTTTTGCACCCTATATTTCTTTTGCAATGGATGTAATCTTATCTGCTAGAAACCATGATATATTTTCCCTCAGTTTCCCTCCAGTTGACCTGTCATTAACTGAGTATCAAAAATAATTGCTTCTCTCATATTATCAACAGGAAAACAGGTATTTTGATCAAGTATTCTTAATGGTGAGGTCAGTGCCTCTTAATTTTCCAGTGATCCCTGTAGGCAGGTGTGTGGGGGCATGCGTGCATGTGTATTTACACATATACATTTTAGTTTCATGCACCGCCAGCCCCATTCACCCATATGGTTCTTGCATGGTTCTGCCTTCTGCTAATACAGATAATCTGGAATGGTCACCTTGTCTTATCTAATGCTGTGGGCGGGCTAGCCATCAATGTCAAGAACCACAGCATCTTGTATTTGAGATTATCAGCAATTGCAGTTAGCTCTCCTTTCCTCTTTTGTAATTTTTTATCAGAATTATCTCTCTTGATCAGTTCATTGCTTCCATGCTCTTACTAAACATAACATATTATGCAAGAGGCTTTGTGTATTAACTTTAAATCATAATCAAAACTGCATTTTTCCCATAAAAGTGATTCTTACTGAGTATATAAGAACAAATAACAATACCTATTGTCAGAATCCTCGCAAGATTTTAATAGATTATTAGATGGCTAGTTTAAAAAATGGTTTTTTACATGCTGCGGTTCTGCCATTGTAAAAGGGGGGGGGGGGAGTAGGAGTGAGAAACCATTTAAAGCAGATGGCTCCTTATCACAAGCTCTGGCATGCTCAAGGTCATACC